ATATATATATATATAGTAAAATTTAAAATGTAAGAAGGACAAGGACAAGAACTACAAAGTACCTATAAAATTTATCCTGCGCAAACAAAAATTGGCCAACAGCAACTGTCTGACTTTTTTTTCCTGCCTTTTTGTAACTGTGCAGAAATAGAGTTCCTCTAGTATGACTGGAGCGGTAACTTGAAATATATTCTGCATTTCCTGCAACTGGCCTTGCAACTGACGTCACAGACAGATTTGAGCGGTGCAGAGGGTACAGTGTGTCAGATCTCCTGTGAGCTGTACTCGGATACAGCTGGGGATACAGGCTACATAGGAAATGTGCCAGTCCCCGAGTTTAATTTTCTAATCTAGCCCAGCTTGTTTGCTTGCTGTTAAACAGCAGAATATATTGTACTTGCCTTAGAAAATTTAGGACATCAAGATCACACATCTGTATAGAACACAGTGGCAGTGTCTGAGCTAGCTAACACAACCTATATTTTCTCCAATTCCTGGCACATCATCATGATGGCTAACAATATGTGAGTCAGGCAATCAGGAATGTTGGTGCAGATTCTGATTTAATCCTATTTGAATTAAGCTTCAATAGTCCTACACTAAGCATGACTAATTCAGAATCCAGCCCAGAATGCGTACTATTCCGTTGCCCTACATTTATCCATATGAGTGCATACTTGGGGACAATTTAGGATTGGTCATATGAATAACAATGCATTATCTTCATTTTATCTTCTTGTTTTTGCTATTCAGAACTAATAGCTCATTCAGTTTTTGCTTACAAGCCCTGACATTTTGTCCAACTTTGAAAATCTTATTCTAATAGAACAAAAATCTATTAGATTTTTTCACTGTGCTGAAAGAGTAAACAAGACAGTGAAGCGGGCTAAGAAAATTACTGTCAGTCCCATTAGTGACAAGAGAGTGTCACAGCAGGACTGGAGAATGTAAACCTGCAATGGTTATTAGCAAGTGAGCATGAGAAATGGAAAGCTAAATTTTTGGTACACCGGGAAGTACAGGAAAAAGCATTCTAGAGATGAAGTAGAGAGCAGAAGTGCAGTATCACCTTCAACCTGTTCAGTGACTGTCAGCTGTCTATCGGTTCACAATAAGATATAGTTTTCAGTCATAAATTTCAGCCTAACTGGTGCCTACCCCACAGTGTTTTGTAATTCCATGATTATAATTCCCTATATTTGTCTATGTTTTCTGGGCCCATTGAAAGTTGAGGTCCTAAATATCTGGACAGCATCAGGTTGCCTACCCCTGTACTGAGTAAAACAAACTTTCATTAGAAAATGAAGTGTTAAGAACCCTAAACAGCCATATATTAATAAGAGTATTTTGGCTTTTTAAATATCTGTATCACCTAGATCTTGGATAACTAAAGGACTGCCTCTTTCTACATATACTTATCTGTCAGTTAAGAACTCCAGTGGCCCTTTTCTGTATTACAGATTAAGCAAGGAGATCCTAGAAAAAGAACCTTTGTGGTTTAGCTATTAATATGAGCACACTCCCTGCCCTCCCAAGATATCTTTTAGCATCTTATTTTATAACTTTAAAATACCAACTAAAATTATTCTAATCTTTAACAACAATATATTTAATTAATACATTAATCAGATTTTAGTTTTATTGAAAATTGTTTTAATTACATTTATGGCACTTTTATTTAGACTTTATCAGGGTGGT